CCTTAGTGGTGCGTCATTCAGCGCGTTAGATTCGCGTCTGTCAAGTATACTGAAACTTTACTTCGTATGGAACTCCAACGAAGCTTTATCGATTTTCACAGAAACAAAGTAACAGAAGAGAGCGAAGTGCCTGGTCAGGCCTGTCGCGGAACTCAGGGAGCGGTGATAAATGAGTAAGGCGTAATGATGTAGCAGTGATTAACAAGAACCTCTGCTGTGGTGCCACGTTTTCCACTATGAATAACACAGAATGTCACCAGGGACTGAGGCAGAGTATCAGGTGTGAGACTGCCCGCCGGGAATATAGTACGGCCCTGTCTTAGAAACAAAATATCGTAAAAAGTGATGGCGTATGACACAAATTATAGAGATTTCCAAGCTATTCACGCTTTATATGAATATTTAATGGGTTCATCGGGCCATCTTAACTTCAGGCTGAGTGATAAACAGTTCACTTGTGTATTATTTGAAGTTTTCACGGCGGAGACTATGAAGAATGCTGTTTTCTGGGATGTGGCGCCCTGTAGATCTTGTGTTAACAGACGTTTCGGAGGAAAATATCGCCTCCATTTTCAGGGCATAAGGAATCCGCGAGCGATGAACCAGCGTGACTGCAGTCTGCAGCCATCTACTCACGCTGTTTCATCACTCGCGGATTTCTTATACACTGAAGATTGAAGCGATATTTTCTCCGAAACGTCGTTTACGTCAAGATCAACGCGGCGCCACATCCCAGAAGACGGAATTCTTCATTTCACTTTTATTTACAAGGTGACGGAACTAACTAAGTTTTCCAATTTAAGTACCTTCTGTCATTAATCTGGGAGGAATGCTGGACGTCGTGAAAAAACCTCAGTCATCATAGACTGTTTCCAGTCCAGAAAGGAGTATGTGACTTCCTACATGCGAAGCAGGAGTTCCTGACAATTCACAATACACAATACACTGCGGCCTTCAGTTGCTGATCACACCACCAGATCGCATTTCTGCTTTGCCATGAACAGACCCTTTGTTACGTTCTCGTATCCGGTAGGAACGAAGAGTATGATAGTAGCTAATAATATGTATTATTCATCTGACTCAGTACTGCACTTAAGTGCATTAAAATTCATTACATCGTTAATTATTAAGGTACGACTAATGCAACAAGGAATTCTGCATTTTCAGTATTTCATGTCCTGCCGATTTCTGACCTGTTGCAATACCGAACAAATGAACCTTTTTACGATGATGTGAGAGGTAGTACACATATAACTTTCCATGTAAAATGAGGAAAGTCGCCATGAAGAAACAGGAAGCTCTACTATGAAATTTCACCTCATTTCAGGAAATAAAACAATGTGTTATTCTCGTTTAATAAGATGTGCTTTTGCTTTGCCCTCAGCACCGCATGACGGATATGAACTACACTCCCCCCACCCCTACGTACCCATGCATGAAGCAACCCGAGAACCCCTAAATATGTTTTTCATGAAATATGATATTGAGAAATGTTAATACACACAGCAATTTTGGTTACAATTGGACAAAAAGAGAAACCATATTACATGAGGATATATATGAATTTCTGCGCGTATTTTGAGCCTAAATCTTTAAATATGTATTTTGCTAAGATCTTTTTCGAATAAAACTTTTAGAGAAATAGAGCACACGTTCTGTCTTCAGCACATGTTTCGCATGTCTTACGGCGCTACACGTGCATTTACCGGCTTGGATATTCAGCACTCAGAAATAGCCTTCTCAGTACAAGAAAATGTTACAGTTTTCCGAATAAACTCCAAGATTCCCTGAATCTCCTGTTCCCGGTGGTAATTAAATTAATCCCCCCTTTTGCCTCAAATTCTACTCGTAGGTCTATACGTGTATAGATACATATAATGTTAAATTAAAGTTCAATTCATCATGCAGCTGAAGTCCTATATTGTCCACTATCATAGGTCAATCTCCAACCTCCTGCCACTTCATCTCTCTTCAGTCCGAATATTCTGCTCAACACCCGGTTCTCAAACACACTCAGGCTCTGTTCGTTTCCAACTATAGACACAGAAATATATTAGCACTGAAAGCATAAATAAAAAAAAGTAGTGAGTTACCTTCATAGAAACGTTATCAGCGCCCTTAGAGAAATGTACCGGTGGCCAGATTGTTTTAACATGTCGACTAGGTGTCTGCATTATGTAAAAATACATTATGGTGTTTCCATGTGGCAGAATACTTTCTGTTTCAGATCTAAATAAGGACGTCTTAATTTTTAAGGGATGTCTCTCCTTATGTAAAAATTATCTGCAAATTTCTTATTATAATATGGTCAGATTGAAAAAGTACTTACAAAATTAGGTTCAGTACCTCTGTCAATAATGAGGCTAATAAAAGCCTGCATTGCAGTTCATGCCTAAGTGCCTCGCAATCTCTACTTCATATCCCCGAGTTATAATCACAGATTTACGTGTAATGTTTCAGAGGGTGTTGTTCATATCCAAGAAAAATGCGTGATTCATGACAGAATTTTTGATTGATAACTCTTTTTGGAATAAAATATACACCTCATCAGTTACTCTGAAATGTCTGGGCTGTGATGTCAGGTTTCTTAACATTTCCAAAGTTGGAGTTCATCTTGTCATGAAAGTTTGAAATCAGTTATAACTGTCACCAACTCACATTCTCGAGAGAGAGCGCGAGGTGCAAAGGTTCTGTAGTAACCGGTACTCACACCAGCGGGAGAACAGAGTCCCATTATGAAGCTCGTTCAAGCATTAGCATGAGGTGTGAATGTTTTATGTGAGCTTTAATTTGACACAATATCCGACACCGATCCACTAAAAGGCTCCCTGTGGAGGGGGGCTGGAATATATGTTCACATTATCCTCCTGCCATCTTCGAAATATTCTCTCTGTACCTCCATATCCCTTTGGTTTTCAAATAAATGCAAATTTTTGGAGCCTATCATTTTCCTTTGTTCAAGAGAACTAATTGTGTTTCTGTTTTCTATACCTCCATTTAGCGTTAATAAATATTTAGCTGCTTCCGTTTCCTTATTTTCGAATCTGCCCATTCTCCTGCATTACCTCAAATTTCCTGAATTTTATTAACTTCTTAATCTGTTTCAATATTATAAACAATATTGAAGTATTCAGTGTAAGCTTAAATTTCTTATTTAAGGACGCTGTGAGTATCCGGCGAACACAGACTGAGGGTGTCTGAGAACAGGTTGTTGAGAAGAGAAATGCATACAGGATTTTGGTGGGAAGGCCAGATGGAAAGAAACCACTTGGAAGACCTAGACTAGGTGGGAGTACGTTAAAATGAATCTTGGAGAAATAGGATGGGGTGGTTTGGACTCGACTCTAGCTCGGGTAGGACCCACTGGAGAACTCTGGCGAACACGATAATACATATTCGGTTTCTTTTTGTTAGTGGGGTGGGACTAAATCCCTTGTACTACGGCCACTTCTGGCCTATTGTACCAGCCCCAGACGATAGGTGAGGGTGTTTGCGGAGCAATTGGTGGAATGAAGATTGGCAGGGGATACCGAAGTACTCGGAGAAAACCTGCCCCAGCGCCACTTTGCCCACCACAAATCCCACTTGACCAGACCCCGCGATCAAACCCGGGTCGCCGCGGTGGGAAGCCAGCTACTAACCGCTTGAGCTATGGTGCGGCCCTACATAATTCGGGTTCTATAAATTGTTAGGAATTTCTTCAGTAGCACAGAAACTGGCAGCTTCTCAAGTAGGACTCAGCTGCATGGCGTTAATTAGTTAGTTAGATTATACAGCGTCGATGATAAGATGATTAATGTAATGAATCAGATAGAGGAATGAGAATTGATAGGAGAAACAGAAATACTACTCGTAAGAGAAAACCAGTGCCACTTTGCCCACCACAAACTTCACATAATCTCAGCTTGGGTCTAACCCGAGCCACCACGGTGGGAAGCTGGCAACTAGTCGCCTGAGCTATGGCACGGCCAAGAAAATGTCAAATATCACATTAAGGTTCTAGAAAGGACTTGAATATTCCTAACAAACTGAGCGACTATCGCCTTCTAGTACTATTGAAAACCCTGTCCCTTGCATTAGAGCGTAAGATTCCTGCTGCAGTAAACTGTGTCGGAGTACCTGAAGGGAGGAAAGTTGTTGGAAGGTGTAGACATAAATTGATGGATATTATGGCCCGCCGCCTAAAAGCCAGATAACTGAATCATAGCAGGCGTCCATTGTTAGGCAACGGTTCTGTATCGTTGCGGGGTGATAATGAAACAGGTTCACGCGACAAGGCATACGCATACACAACAGACGTTACCGCGCAAGTGAAATACCAGAACTAGTGAAGTTCTCGCAGCAACGAATACACCAGCGACCTGTGCGTAGAACACGTGAAATGGAACGTTTGAAGGATGTCTTCTAGACCGTCCGACTGCAGAATATGAGAGACCAGACCAGAACGGAACAGAGGATAATTGAGGTCAAAACAGAGCGGAGGCCAAAACAGAGGCGAATGGAGCAGAGCTGAGAACAGAAGAAACCAGCTCAGCTTAGAACCAGAAAACGACAGACTAATCAGGTCGCATTGTCTGGAAGACGTTATTTCAGAGTGATTGTAATTGTAAACAACTTAGCCAATAAACAGCTTCATCTAATCCGGAACCCATGATTTCTTGTCCCGTTACCATGATACCTGCCAATATTATTGAAACTGACGATAAAAATGTATGGGAGGTTGTGGGCTGAACTCATTCGGTTCAGGAGAGGATCAAGCGGCGAGTTCTTGTGAATAAGATAAGAAATCTTCTTGTTCAGTATGTAAGGTGGGGTAAATTTCTTGAGCACCTGACCCATTGTTAGCTTCTCAAGAAGTATTTTACTCCGTGGAGTTGGTACCTTCTTTCTGTTTCATCAAATATTGCATAATTATAAGTGAGGCATGTGTCAGATTGCCCACGCAGCCCTACAGACGACGTAACCAGTGCTGGTACGGAAGGAAGTCAGCGCCTACTTACCATCGTGCAGCGGGTCGATGGTGTGGATCATGAGCTGCAGGAGGCCGTGGCGGAACTTTGTACCCGAGTGACCAGTCGGTCCAGGTGCTGGGCGTGAGGTGATGCCACTGCCCGCAGAGCCACCAGCCGACCCTCCGGCACCCGAGCCGCCACCCACACTCGTCTGGCTTGAAGTGGCAGCATTGCCCGCGTGCTGCAAATATACACACAGACATTCAACCGCTTTTCTTCACGCTCCGCGAGCATCTATACACGGAACTGGAGCAAAATAATAGTGGAATGTCTGACTAAGTATATCCTTTTTAAGTTCTTTTTTATTGCTAGTGGGGTGGTACTAAGTCCCTTATACTGCGGCCACTTCTGGCGTATTGTACCAGCCCCAGGTGGTAGGTGAGGGTGATTGTGGAGCAATTGGTGGAATGAAGATTGGCAGGGGAAACCGAAGTACTCGGAGAAAACCTGCCTCAGCGCCACTTTTTCCACCACAAGTCCCACTTGAACAGATATGGGATCGAACCCGTACAGCCGCGGTGGGAAGCCAGCGACTAACCGCTTGAGCTATGGCGCGGCCCTAAGAAGCTCTTAGTTTCGTCAATACGCAATCAATTTCCCACCTATTAATTCTGTGACAGAAGAGAAAGTTGGACAGAACTTGAATCCCAAGCAATATGGATCAATACGGCGTGTGATTGAGAGCCAGTGCACTCGGACTGTCATCTCTCGAACAATGACAGAAGAAGATTAATGGCCCTGGGCGGGCTATGTTATACAAACACTGAAATAGGGACTCAAACTTGCCCATCACCGGCCTCCTCTAGGGTCCCAGCGTAGAGGGCCTTCTCTATATCAAGAAAATTTCGACCCCAGCGTAGCAACCCAGCCAATAATACGCTGGGGAAGACCGAATGTTGATCCACTTCAATCCAGTTCCAAAGTCGCACCATATTTCCGAGATTCAGTTTAATGTTACGTTCCCATCTGACACAAATAGCTGATACAACAATGATGAATTGCCTTCAGATCAATTAATGAATTATTACAGCATTTCGACATTTCACTGCACTATATATAATGTTACATTATTAATTTTGAATTTCCGCTTGATCATTTAAGTTAGATTTAACCAGCGGCACGCACACAAGAAGACTACACAGAGTAAGTACAAATAACAGTAAAAACACATAAGAAAACATTACGTACATTATTAATAATACGAATATTTGTATATTACAGATAACACCTATACAATACTAGAAACAAGAAGAAGCCGCTGCAGCACTATAGACATAGGGCGAGTAACCCTGACATTTTTTAAATTAAAAATTTAGAGAAAAGAATTTTAAAGGATTTCAAATTAGAACCCAAGATTTTATAAGTGCTAATCAGGAAGACCTATGCTTTTAAATTTTAAATGTTATAAATAAGTGCAGTGTAACAGATACGTGAGTGTATACACCTGATGATGACCGTTTGGGGCCGAAACATGTAGTGTGTAAAGGAGAACAAAACGAAAGACCTATAAATATAGTTTGCACTTAGGACGGAGTTATATCATATATCGTAAAAAGTGCAACAGGATGCTTAAATATAATATTAGATTTAAACCTTAAGGTATATCTACGGTTAGAATCAGCGAAACTTTACTCTGTATAATATTTGTTATTATCTCGACATATTGAAAATTGTAGTTTTATAGGTGAGGAATTTCTTCGGCAAGAGCCGTATTAGGCTTGTGTACAATCAGAATTGTTCAATGAACTTCCTTAACCTACCTATAATATGCATCTTAACAGCAATGATTTGTGTCTGTATTTTAAATAATGCCCCGGTCTGGATACAAGCAAATGACTCAAGCAGTGATATTTTCTGGCAACTTGTCTTTAACTTTTCTAGACAACCTTCACCACCTCTCTCTCCAAGAGACGGCTGAAACAAATAAACAAACAAGCCGGAACGAGACGCAGTTTGTGATTCCCGCATGAAAGAGGTAACCAAAAGAGATTTTCCTTCAATGATTCCCAAATGTTTGTTCCCCAGTGACACTGCGCACTGCTTCTGTCAGTCCAGTGTTTCAGAATCACAGAATCAACAGTGCTGGACTTGATTTCCGAATTTCCGTGGAACAACAGTGGGGCCAGAAGAAGAATTAGAAGAATTATTGTGTGATGTTACATGTGCTGTAGTACATCGACATGGGGAGTGAGTAATTTAGTAAAACTTTTACAGTTCCTCTGTTACAATCCGTTGCCAGGCAACGGATAGTGAATACTAGTGGAATTAGCCTGAGAATATTAGTGTCAAGTGATTGTAAATTGTTTAAATCAGCAACAGTGTAATAATTAATTATGTTACGACCTATAGGTGTTTAATAAATCCAATTACCAATCCAACTCCCTTCTTTAGCCACTGATACATACGGCATTCATTGTGAGCTTATAACGAATTCCAACATACTCATATCACAGACTACTAAATAAGGAATTTGTGCAAAGTTTAAAATTTCAAATATGTGAATTTATATGTTTAAAATATATCATTTGAATGTGCTTTAAAACGCCGACCAACAATTTCGGCTCAGAGATCCTTCATAGTAACAGAATTTTGACTCTACACACAATGGTAAAATTCACCTAGTGTGTCTGTCTGCATGAATCCTTACTGGAAAACGCAGCAAGCAGGTATGTAAAGACGATAATGTGATTTCGTGATCTATAATATTCAGATTTGCTTTGTCGTGGTTTTGCCTGACGTGAAAGAGTTTAATTCGCTGAAATGAGGCCGTTTAAATCTTAGAAACAGAAGAAACCTTGGATATTTCGAGGGAATGAAATGTGAAACAGTTCGCGTGTAAGGCGCGTTGCGCTGAGTCACGAGTGGTTTCGTGGTGACCGTCGATGTAACTACGTTTCGAATCGTAACCTGCAGAGAGATATAATTTCAACATGGCCGATCACCGCCGTTATGTTTGGAACATCCATAAAACACATTTTTCTGGCTTACAAAGGTTTAGACTAAACTGGGTTTAAAGCACAATATATCATTGAAGGTCGCAGTGCGAGGGCCAGTTTTATGGCTCACTCCTCATACTCATACTCATACTGGGTTTAACAGTCCCTGCTTGCTGGTTGTCCTTAATACTCTGTATGAAAGTTGCTTAACGTAGGTAAGGGGTAGACAATCCGAGCAAAGGAAANCGCTTGCAGATTTCTTATATTTTTCTTCTAGCCTGAAGATGGAGGCGATACGTTCCTCCGAAACGTCGGTTAACACCACATATACACGGTGCCAAATCCCAGAAGACTGCTTTCTTCAAATATTGTGTTGTATGTTGTATTTCTGTAGGAAGAGATCTTTATTATAATAAAATAAGTATCGATTCTGTGACTTTGAAATGTTCAGTTTCAGTTCAGAAACTGTCCTTTGATCTTGCAGAGTGAACTGAAGTAAGAAACATCTATATGGGTGCTGAAGATCTCATTTATCCAGTAACATTGCAATAATGGGTATATGCAATATGAAGTCGGTTATGAGGCACAGCAACTGCCATGAAACGGGCAATTATATTAGTAGAATTATCTGCATTGAACTTTCTTTTTGTTTAGAGTGTTCGCTTCTATTGACATACCATCATTCTAACTATGATCCGAAACGCTAAGGTTCAACATCAGTTTATATAATCTTCCGTACACCCATTTATTCTTGTTCTGTTTCTTTGTATGGTTGTGAAAGGTGGTCTCATATTTTGAGGGACGAAGATGAATTACAAATGTTTCAAAGCAAATATATTAAAGTGGGTGTGAATATGGCAACTGAAAAATTCGCAACACTGCATAAAGAATTTCATTAATTATTTCAGGGCAGTTAATAATTTTTAGTTGTTTATATGAATTTGTTCACAACGATCTGACCATATAACACGGAATCTAGAGAAAATATATACAAATTTTTGGTGGGTAAAACTCTAGAAATTCAGTAAATTTTCTTCTTTCTTTCTTTCGGTTAGACTGACAACCTCTTTCTTGAAGAATGACTCGGATCAGGGATCCTTCAGTTTTCCTGAACTTCATCTTTTTGGTAAATCATCTCTCCATAACTCTAACAATTCTGTCAACTCAAAGCCCGAAATGAAAGTGGGAATATAATGTTTTCTGTACACTGAGAAAATAAAATATGAGGACAGGATCTTTATCGGACTACATCAGAATAGTACAAGGAATATTTTTAGTAACTTGAGTTCTCGGCGAGAGATACGCTGCTTGCTGCTAGTCGCATGCGAATTTGCCGTTGAATCAACTTGCCTGTGACTTGTTCCATGGATTTAGTTACAATGTAGAGAGTGTATAAATTTTCAAAGAATGAGCCATTCACCAACAGAATTTACTACAATGCCGACACAATGAAATCGAGTTGCAAGTTTCGATCCTACCGTTTGAAATGAAGTAGTTACAATTCACAGATCACAGGAGGTGTTGAATGTGATGCCATCTACACACTTAGATATTTTCGAAATTAATTGTTTAATTACGGAACACAAATACAACAATCCTTCTTGCACTTACAGCGCACGAAATACTAACTTTCACTGGATGGCTTCAGCAGTTATTTTGCCGTTCTTGCAGTGGACTTTAACACTCCAGGCTCTTGAGCTAGATGTTTCAGTGATTTTCTAGGTGTATGTTCAAGTCTGGTCCCTAGCCATCTAACTTCTCATCAAGCACTCGGCGCTTATGTTTTCATTTCTTATCTATTAAGAGTCCCATTGTTTTAAGTTTATTCACCAGATTGTGAATTGTTTGCCTGCTGGGAACTCTTTCAGCACGAAATTTATGTCAAAATTTTCTCCGACACTTTCTAGCGGATCCGTATTTCACATAGATATCATACAAAATTTCACGTTGCTCCGAAATATTCTGCAACATGAAAGAGCACGCCGCTCGCTAATTGTAACTGAGAACAAATGGCTAATGGAGCTGATAACCGTTGTCTACTGCTGACAAATCATAAACAAACTCTCACACATGAACCGCACTGCTAGCCTTGAAGCATAATGTCATCAAGCGATCTACAAATTAATTACTTCCATTTATTCCAAAATTTATCGGCTGCTTCATCGGTAAAATTCGTACGCGCCTCGCAGCAAGCAGAGTACCGGTCGCCGTGCAGCGCAGAGCCGTAAACCCGTCAAGTTATTAA